TGCGGGCGCCGCGGGCGGCCTGGGGGCCCGCGCAGAGCGGCGAGCGGCAGCCGGAAGGGCAGGGCGGGCGCGCGGATGGAGGGATGCAGGGCTGGATGGAGTCCCGCGCAGCCGGCGCGTTTCATCACGTGCCTGCTGACTCCGCTGACAGTGCGAGGGCAGCGGCTGATTGATTATCGCTGTGCTTAACTGACGGCGGGGCGAGATGCCGGCGAGTCCTGGGAGGCGAGAAAATGGCCAGGACCGATGGAGCCCTGCGGCCCGCCGCCTGCGGCTTTGTCGGCTTCGTCCTAAGTTTGAGCAATGGGAAGCGATTTGGAGGCTGCCCACTCGAGCTGGAAGCCTCGCCACCTGTGAAGCCGAAGGGCCACCCATCCCCCGTGCGCGCCGCCGTCTTGCAAGGGAGGTGCTCAGAGGACCCACCTCTCCGCCCCTGCTCCCACCTGCTCGCAGGTTTCCGAGAGGCCCTGGGGTGCTGATCCCCCAGAATTATTCCTCCAAGTCGATGGCATTAATTCCGCTGGAAGGGTTGGAACGACATGAAGAAGCAAAATCACTGTCGCCCCAATTATAGTAAAGAAACTTGTGTCTCTGGCTTTCTGGGGCAGATTTGGGAAGCTATAAATATCAAGTTTTCTTTCTTTCCTCAGCTGGGCCAGGTGTGGGGGAGAGAGAGAGACAGGATAATCAAGACAGCCCCTTCTCAACATCCTAGCTGCACACAGAATAGAAGCGACCCCTGGTTGTGTCACCAGAGCCATGTGGCCCAGTGCATTTGCCCCAGTCCCATCTGGGCAGGCAGGTTTCACCCAAGGAACCTTCTATTCTCTAACCTCTGTTCGAAGTACTACTGGGCAAAGGTTCCCATCCCAAACTGCTTTGTACACACCCTGGTCTGACCCATCTCCCGCTCTTCCCCAGTTCCCCAAGTTTCTCCATTGTGTGCTCTGGAAAGTATGCTGTTTTTCGCCAAAACTGTCATTTCATTTTTGTTTTTTTCTCTAACATTTCCTAAACGTTCTGTTCTACCCGGAACCCACCTCTTCCCCCTTCAGCCCCTCTCTCTCTTCCTCTTTGCTCAGTCTACTTCTGGAAAGCTGGCGTGAATGGGATTAATAAATTTGGAAAGAATAATTGGGTATGCTCACTCAGCTTGACCACTTTTCCTCTTAAGGGCAAGCTGCCTGAAGGAAGCAAGGTTTCTCCTTTGCATCGCTAGATGAAGGGGGCCCTGCCCGTGCTCAGCACTGATGGACCATTCTTATCAATCAACAAACTAGCATATAGAATAGAGCCAACTTTCTATAATTTATGCATGAGATATAAAATACACCCCAGATGCATGGGACCCCATCTATCCATCCATCGTATAGATAGAACATCTATATCTACACCTGGGTCTAGATCTAGATTATCTTGCATAAGTTATCTATATGTAGGTATAGACATGTATAAAATCTCCCTTGACACACTTTCCGCTTATTTCTGCCCTATTTTTTTAGCTTCTTTGGCACCAAGAATGTCTTCTCCTTTCATTTTGTCCTGAACCTATTCTATCCTGCTATCTCCATGCTACTAAACCAATGGTGAACAGTCAGTTATCGTATCAAATGGCTTTTCAGCAGTCGTTAACGTTGATCTCTTTCACATTCTCAAAAACTTTCTACATTTAGCTACCAGGACACCAATGTCTATTATTTCTCCTCTGCATTTCTGGTTGCTATTTATCAAGCTATTACTTGTTCCTCTTTTGCTTTTTCACCCTGAAATTTTGGAGTGCCTCAGATCTCAATCTGTGGGCCTCTTCTCCTCTAAATTTACATGCATTCCCTAGGTGGGCTAAATCAGACTCACATCTTTAAATGTTACCTAAATAGTAATAACTTCCAAATGTATACTTTAATGTAGGTCTGTACTCTGAAATCCAGTCGGTCAACTGGCTCTCCACTTGATACCTAATTGGTGTCTGATTCAGCTTTATGAAAACAAGGATATTGTCTATTTAACTCATTGCCATACATTCCAGGCATAGGATAGTTCCTAGCCCCCAGTAGACGCATGTTAACTAAATGAATCAATGTATCTAATAACAACAATCTGATACATAATCTTTATATTTAGTAATGCATTGTTTACATTATTATCTCATTTAATCCTCTAAAGCCCTGCAGAGGTGGTTATAACTGTTATCTCTTTTACATCAATGCACCAATAGGGAAGGAAAGGATCAGACAGGTTAAGTAAACTGCCCCATACAACCCACATAACCACTAAGTAACTGTGGTGGTTTGTGCTGTGTCAACTTGATTAGCTGGAACTACATTTCCCAGGATGCCCTTCCTTGTATTCAAGTGAGGAGAGGAATTTGTGCAAGATTGAGAAAACAGTGCTGCACCCAAGGAACATAGCACCTGCCTCTCTGGTGGCCTTTGCAGTCTGTGTGTTGACATGTACCAAGTCCCAGAAGGTTCTAGTATGTCCTTGCTCTCCCTCACTTCACATTCAGGTCTTCCAAATTCATTCCCCTCCTGAGCAATGGTACCCCCACACACTTCACAAAAGCCTGAATGTGGACCTACAAAGGCAGCAGCCACGCAAAGACCACAGCTTTCCACTGACTTTCCTGCCAGCGTCCTTTTATGGTCCCCCTCCTGCACCTGGCCATGCCTGGCTCCCCAGCTTCCCCTGTAGACTTCAACTTGCCCACCCACTTGCCAAAGACCTCAGGGGGGTTAATAGTGTCTTTTTTCAGATCTTCCCATTCCTTATTCCGGAAAATAACTTCCCCGGCTTCCCTCACAATTGTATAAGCTCTTGTTCCCATAACACACCCCTTACTCCATTGCGTTCACAGTGTTTCTACTTCTCTGAGTTCTCTACCTCTCTGGCAGAGCTCAAATCCAAGTCTTCCTGGTACTTTTCACTATTCCACAAGAAATCCAAGTTACAGAGACAAAAACCTTGAAGCCATTGATACAAGAAAGTGCAAAACTGAACCACAGAAAGTGTGAAAAGAGTTGATATTCCAACCAGGCTCTTCAAGGACTGATAGGAGGTCTACCTGAAAGGTGATGAGGGAAGGAGTTTCCAGTCAGGCACAAAGGCAAATTCTAAAACCCATTAGGACAATGACTATAATAAGATGACCACTCATTGAATCCATACGGTCTCTAAACACATTAAAAATATTCTCACCATTTCTGACAAAATCTACCCCATAAGCTATGAAAAGAAACTGATGTTCCAGTTAGGAAACTTGACTGTGATTGTATACTTTCTAAATATCAGAGTCTGGACTCGGACACACCGCTGCGTGACTCCAAAGCCCTACGAAAAACACCTGAAAAATGCCTCTAGCTACAGAATCAGTTTTTAAAAATGCGAGGGTCTCCCACAGAGATGCCTGTCATTCTTCCGTCTGCCTCCTCTCTCCTGGCACCTGTCTTCCCTCCACACACCTAACTCACGCCTTTCTCACTGGGCACTAATAACCCAAGATGCCTTATGGCTACTTATGGCTGCAAGGCAAATATCATGGAGCAAAATTCAGGGCAGAGCATGATTCACCATTTCTTCTTCTGTTATTGTTAAGCCTCATTAGACGGATCATAATTTGTGTTGCTGTGCATTGGAAGCAAAATTATGTCTTATTACCTTAATACTCCTAGGACTCACATTTTTTTCTTATCTAACCTTGAGGGAATTAGACTAGATCATCTGGATCTTAGAACATAAGGTTTTAATAGGTTCTTTTGTACTCTCCTCCTACATAGTGGCCCTTTATGTTGTAAACAGCAAACAACATGGATATTGTGGCATGTCTTTCTTTCTTTCCAAAACCATGTAAATATGTGATCCTCAGCTAAAATCATGTTTTTATCATTTTCCTTGTGGACCTTATGTTTTGTGCTATTTCTGTCAAACAAATTAAATTGTAAGATGTAATAATGCATCCATTTTTCCATTCCAGATAAAACTCCAAGGACCAGGTAAGAGCCCTGTTACTCTCCTGGGATAGAATTTCTCCCCAAATAATGGCATTCGTGGTTTCTGTTGTTATTGTTTTGTTTTTTGTTTGTTTTTAGCTGCAGCAGTCTTATCTTGGAAAAAAATAGAATTTGATTTGTTTTTTAAATACTGGACATAGCTTCAGTAGTTTGTGAGGAGTGTTGTAACAAATTATCACACACTAAGTGGCTTGAACAACAGAAATGTATTGTCTCACAGTTCTGGAGACTAGAAGTCCAAACTCAAGGTGTGGGTAGAGGTGGTTTCTTCTGAGGACTCTGAAGGAAAGATTTGTTCAGGGCCTGTCTCCTTGGTTTGTAGGTCACTGTCTCTCCCTGTCTGTGTCTCCTCACATTGTCGTCTGTGTTTGTTTCTGTGTCCAAATCTCCCCTTTCTATATGGACACAACTCATATTGAATTTGGGTTCACCCCACTGACCTCACTGTAACTTGACTACTTCTCTAAAGATCCAATCTCCAAACCAGGTCACAGTGTGGGCACAATTTAACCCATAGCAGCAAATCATTTTTTTTGCAAATCATATTTTTGCAAATCATTAGGGGCT